TGGCAGAGGACTCGGCTCCGTCTTTGTTTTTCCAGCATCAGTACATGTGTTCGGAGTGTGGGGTTCTCTACAACACTTTGGAGGGGGTGCTGCTCCACCACCAGAGCCATTTAGGGGAGTCCTGTGAGACGGCAGCCACGGCCACTGTTGCTGATGCAGAATCCCAACAAGACAGCCGCTATCAGTGCCTGGAGTGTGGGTGTGTCTTGTGGTCACCCGATGAACTGTTAGCGCACCAAGAAGTGCATCCCAGGGAAGTACCAACCCGCCCTTCATCTCTCCCAGCCACCACTGGACAGATCCGCTACCAATGCAATGAATGTAATGAACTTTTTCCTTCGACGAGCCTCTGGCTAGCTCACCGCCGGACACACCAGAAACAGGAGGCTTCAGCCAACTTGTCGCCATCAATTTTACCTTCTCATCTGCCTCCCTCCCCTCCCTCTGCCTCCCAACTATCCAATCCTCAGCCTCCCCAGATCTCTTGCCCCCCAACCTTGCAGGAACTACATCCACCATCACCACAGTCGGTCCCCCCCATGCATCCTTATGAATGCTCAGAGTGCGCCTGTCTTTTCTTAACACCAGAAGAGCTGCTGGAGCATCAGGGCGAACATTTCACTGAAATCGAGAAAGAGAGTGGGGAGCCAGCTGAGGTGGCGACACAGGAGGCGTCCAGCCCCTACATGTCGCCAATGCCAGGCTCTGAGGAGACAACAGCAGTGCCTCCCCCTGCTCAAGTTTTCTGTTGTACCGAGTGCAAGCAGGCTTTGGGTACAATGGAGGCGCTGCAAAAGCACCAACAGGAACATGTGGGGAGCAGTGAGGAATTCCTATGTGGGGAATGCCAGCGTGGCTTCACAACAGCCAAGCGGTTATTGGCTCACCAGCGGGTGCACGTGGATGGCACCTACGAGTGTCCAAATTGCAACAAGATCTTCAAAAAGGCAGCCTCTCTTGAACAACACATGCGCATCCATAAAGGCGAAGCGCTCTACCTCTGCGTGGACTGCGGACTGGGCTTCTCCACCGAGATGACCTTAATTATGCACCGCAAAAATCACACTGCCAACCCCTTGCACCGCTGTCATTGCGGCAAGACTTTCAGCAACATGACCAAGTTTCTTTACCATCGGCGCACACACGCCGGCAAGAGCGGGGTCCCGGCCACACGGGGGGCCGGAGGAGACCCTGCATCCGGCCAGCCTACTGAGCAAATGCCCGGTGAGGGGGAAGCCCTTGTGAATGGCTCAGCCCCTTCCTCGCTTTCATCGGGGAACTCGGCTGAGGTCTCCAGCGGCGGGTTCCTGTGCCCTCAGTGTGGAAAGGCGTTCTCCACCCATATCCGGATGGTACGGCACAAGCGAGTCGTGCACGTGCTGGAGCGGAAGCACAAGTGTCCCACGTGTGGCAAAAAGTTCAAGAAGCTGGTGCACGTGCGCAACCACCTGCGGACGCATACGGGGGAGAGGCCCTTTCAGTGTTCCGAATGCGGCAAGACATTTGTTTCCCAGGCTAACTTGGCCCGGCACCACGTAACCCACACGGGAGAACGGCCTTACCAGTGCCAGGTCTGCGACAAGCGCTTCACTCAGTCCTCTAACCTTCGCCAGCACCGCCTTTTGCACATGGCTCCTAATGGAGACGGGTCCCACTCGTGTGACGACTGTGGGGCCGCCTTTCTCCGAGCCCGTCAATTAGCCTTGCATCGAATGGTACACAAAGGGTGCTTGCCTTTCCCTTGTCCGGACTGTGACAAATCCTTTTCACGCCATCGTCTCCTTGAACTGCACCGGCTTAGCCACTCGGGCCACGAACCTCACAGCTGCCCAGACTGCGGTGCTCTGTTTGTGGTGGCCTCCAAGCTGCAGGAGCACCGCTGTGCCAGGCCGCACGAGCAGGGGAGCCCCCAGCAGTCGTACCTCTGCACGTCGTGTGGCAAGTACATGGGATCGTTGGCCAAGCTGACCTTACACCAGTTGGTTCATTCGGGGCAGCGTCCGTACAACTGCCCGCTCTGTGGGAAAGCCTTCACCACCCCTAGCGGGCTGAGCCGACATCAACAGCGCCATGCTGGCCTGCGCCCTCACAAGTGCCCTACCTGCAGCAAGACGTTTGTGGCAGCCTCCGGGCTGCAGCTGCACCAGCGCACACACACCGGCGAGCGCCCGTTCCTCTGCCCAGATTGCGGCAAAGCTTTCCGGCAGGCCACCCACCTCCGTGAACACAGACGCCTGCACACCGGGGAGCGGCCCTACCGCTGTCCAGAATGTGGCAAGGCCTTTGTGCAGTCCATGCACCTGGCTGAGCACAGACGGATCCACACCGGGGAGCGCCCGCACCCTTGTCCCCTCTGCTCCAAGACTTTCAAGACCGTCTCTAACTTGCGTAGCCACCGCAAGACGCACACGGCGCTGGCTGCCGGCCAAGATGCGCTGCAGTCTCCTGAATCCCTCGTAGCTTCCAGCCAGCCCACCCAAACAATCATGTGCACCAAGTTTGGGGAGACAATCGCGATCATTGAGAGTGCAGAGCCGCTCCCCATGATGGAGACCATAGAGATCTATCTAGAGATGTGAATTTCCCAGAAATACAGAAGCCGTGCGAGGGAGGGAGGGATTTCCCATCTTTTCCCGTACTTAGAATTGCAAGGGCGGCGTCCCATGTTTTTGCCACGGTGCAGAGGTTTTAATCATCTTCAACTGTTCTGTGCACAAAGGCCGAACATGCCAGCAGGAAGCAGAACTCCATGCATCCTTCAGCAGGCTTCTCCTAGCACCAACACTTCCTCTTCAGCCTGTTTAGTTTCGTGGGGAGGCCTAAGCTGCAATTTATGGACCTCATTTTGCCATTTCCTCTGGGCAGTCCCTTTTTTGTCTTGGGGTGGGTGGGTGGGATTGCAGTTGGGCCACTCATCTTGACCACAACCAGGTGTTTATTGTAAATTAAAAGAGATGTGTTATATTCCATAAGGTCTCCCCGTTTCATTATCGGAGATTCTAAGGAATGGCTTGATACAGTATCCAGGACAGTCTGTCCTATAGTTTGTCAATTATCTCCTTGCTCTTGGGGGAAAAAATGTTACCCGCTATTGTGTCAAAGTTGTAACTTTGTGATACAATAATATTGTTACACCTTAAGGCAAAAGAAAGGGGATACTTTTGTGCTTTGATAGTTTGACACAGTTTTTATTATGCCTGCAGTCCTAGCAGAACAAGCCGCGTTAATTAAAACTCTCCCATCTGAGCAACAAGTACAGGATTTCTGCTTTAATATGTAACTCCTAGTTGGAGGCCAATTCCATTTTTTTTTTAATTGGAAAAACTCTGTACCAGCTTTAGGTGATTGGCGTACGACGACTGACGAACGTGCACGTTTTAAAACTCAAGAATTTTTATGACGACTTTCCAGTCCCAAACATTTTAGCGTTAACGGGGAAAGGAAATAATGATTTCAATGGCAGTGAGCATCTCCTTGGGTGGTTCGTTTTACCATGTTGTATTTGCAGCATTTGAACAACAGACTAACATGACTGATGTAACCCAATCTTGAGTTCATCCAGCGTACTAAACTTGAACTAGGCCGGCTGGCTTCACTAAAAGCACTTGAGCCATTTGCAGAATCTGGGATTGTTAGCGAACAGGCATGTTAGTTACTGGATGGAGTCACTGAAGCGGTAGGTGTGAATTTAAATGGACTCCAGAAGATGGTAGAGGACAGGAAGACCTGGAGGAACGTTGTCCATGGGGTCGCGATGGGTCGGACACGACTTCGCAACTAACAACAACAACAATGTTAGTTACATGGAAGGATATTACCTTTTTAGAATATAAAACTCAAAAAAGAGTTTAACCACCGAAGCAGATGGAAACTGCAGGGATAAAGCTAACGCCATTCAGTGGGAGGATCCCACTGCAATAACTAACCACCTGGTTGAGGCCATAACGGATATATTAATTGCACACACCTACAGTCCAGTTGGCAAATTCTCAGCTAATGCTAAAGGTTATTTTTTAATCGTGCAGTTCAGTAGCAAGCTTGAGAGCTGACACGGCTAAGACTGATGTCTCCACTCATACTCGCTGAACCAAGTAGAGCTGGGTCATCCAATCTAAGCACTCTTTTATGAACTTGAATTCTGTATAGGAGAATTTATGGCATTTCAAGTCGCCGGTGTTGACACAGGGAACGTGGCTGGAGCCTAAGATAGATACATAGCTCTAATTCGCACTGTGTGCCCCCAAAGAGTCAACCACCAATGCCTGGGGCAGCAAAAACCTTGATCCCAACATGAAGGAACGTTACGGAACCCCAAAACCCTACACATTCACATGTACGCAATGAAACTAGGATGGTACACAACTGAACCAATTCCATCCTCGCCGAGACCACTACAGGTAGTCCTCAACCTAGGACCACAATTGAGCCCAGCATTTATGTTGATAAAGTGAGAAATTTGTTAACTGGGTTTTGCCCCATTTTATGACATTTCTCGCCACACTTGTTAAAGTGAACCACAACTACAGTTGTTAAGTGAATCTGGCTTCCCCACTGACTTGTCAGAAGGTTGCAAAAGGGGATCACATGACCCTGGGACACTGCAACTGTCGTAAGTATGAGCCGGTTATTAAGCATCCAAATGTAAATCACGTGCTAAAATGGTCATAAGTCTTTTTTTTTTTCAGTGCCGCTGAAACGTCTAACAGTCACTAAGTCAGTGTTTCTCAACCTTGACAATTTTAAGGCATGTGGACTTCAACTCCCAGAATTCCACAGCCAGCAATGCTGGCTGTGGAATTCTGGGAGTTGAAGTCCACATGCCTTAAAATTGTCAAGGTTGAGAAACACTGCACTAAGTGAACATTGTAATTCAAGGACTACCTGTATTTGGCAACAAACACCTCGACAGTGATTTTCCATTTTCTAGGGCCTCCTTACTATTATTATTGTTTTATCTCTTTCGATTCTCTCCCCATTAATAAGGAGCTTCATGACAGTCCTTCCGTTCATGCCAATAATTTATTGAACCGGATGTCTGTACATAGCCAAAAAAAACCTAAGAAAGAAACTAACACACAATGTTGGAAGGAAAGAAGGGAGGGAGGGAGGGAGGCAGTGATGAGGATAAATATGAGGGTGAGGGAAATTATCCACAGGCTGCACCCTGGCTCCCTAGGGGGAACCCGTCAATCCTAGATGATTTGAAAATGGAAGGAAACGGGATTTGGGGGCGGGGGGGGGGTGTCAATCATTGCAACATTTCATTAAGAAAAAAAATAATCTATTTACAGGGATAATGGAAAAAGGAAGCCATTTTAAGGGGTTTAGATGAGGAAAATACGTATTTACAGCAGAAAGGGAAACAGGCATTTAAATTAAAACTTGCCTTCTCCCTTTTGAGAACCTCCCTACGGCCCCCAGAGGTCCACAACATGGATCTGCAGCACCGGGGAGGAAAACTTTGCGATAGGGAGCGGATGCAACGGAATTCAGAGCAAGCTTCTGCTTGTTTCCTGCCTGCTCTAATACCAGCTTGTTCCAGACACGCACGCACACACACGCGCACACATACAACGCACACACTTCACAGGGTTTCCCCCGCGAGAAATCCCAGTGCTACCTCTGATGGGATGGGAGGAAGAGCGAGGAATGGTTGGCCATGCCCCCCTCGCAATCCAAGGCAAGGGGGAGAGGGGGTTTCTTGTTCCCGGTTAAGAGATTGCGGTAGAGGCATGGCAAGCAAAAGGGCCAGGTCGGGATGGGGTGGGGGGGTGTTGCCAGGGGGGGGAAGAAGGGTGGTTTTCCCCCCGCTGGAATGGGACAAAACTGAATGTTTATTGGGCTATAAAACCGACCTGCTTTAAAACACAGCATCCGGGTTTCATAGGCAGACAGGCCTTGGGGATGATGGAGGGCAATCTGGGGAAGGAACCATTAACAGTGTGAAGGGATATACAGAGGGGTGGAGTTCGGAAAGCATGAATGACAGACTGGAAATAAAACCATTTTTTTTCCCCTCCCCAGGGGACCGTTAAAAACAAGAGCAAATTAAAACTCAATTAGGACAGACTTGGGATTACCCAGAGGGAGAGGGAGAAAGGAAGATGGCAGCAACTCTCCGGTCCTTCACCCCCCCCCCCTCCGGAGGCACCAACCTGGACCGCTTTTGACAAGAGAAGGGAGCCCTCAAGCCATGGGATTTTTCTGTCTCTCTCCCCCCCCCCCCAAGCCAAAGCATTAGAGGACAACCTGTGAGGGACTCCCCCCCTCCCCTCCCTCCTGTCCAAGTGGCCACCTATCCCCAACTGGCCTCCCCCTCCACCAGGTCCCCAGGCCAAGATTGCTTTCCCCCACCATTCACAGTTCAGAGAAGTCCATGTGGGTGGCCTGGGGGTAGGGGGTAGTGGAGGGGACCTGCCCCCCGGGCCCAGCGACCCCTCAGGAGGTATTGGCAATGGGTCCTGCACCGTCTCCTGGTGTGACCTGGCTCCTGTCAGTGTTCATTCTTCCCTCACCTAGAAAGAGAGAGAGAGAGAGAGAGAGACAGGAAACAGTCTGAAGCTATGTTGGACCTTCCTTTTCAAAAGAAGCCAAGTTGTTTGTCTCATTTTGTTGTTAAGGTGCCTTGGCGGTACAGTGGTTAAACTGCAATACTGCAGGCAAACACCACCCAACATCCTGGAGTTCCGAGCCTGACGGGGTTCAAGGTCAGTAAAACGAGGACCCAGGTTGTTAGGGGCAATAGGCTGACGTTGTAAACCGCCCAGAAACTGCTATATAGCACTATCGAGCAGTGTGTAAGTGTAGCAATAGCAATCCCACTTAAGACTTATATACCGCTTCATAGGGCTTTACAGCCTTCTCTGAGGGGTTTACAGAGTCAGCCTATTGCCCTAATAATCTGGGTCCTCATTTTACCAACCTTGGAAGGACGGAAGGCTGAGTCCACCTTGAGCCGGTCAGGATCGAACTCCTGGCAGTGGAATGCGGAGTTAGCCTGCAATACTGCCTTCTAACCACTGCACCACTTGGGCTTTACGTGCTATTGCTGTTGTACGCCACACACAAATAACCCCCTCGTGTTATAGCTCCTGCTCCAAATTCAAGCGAAGCACCGCAAATGAGATAGCACTCACTGTGCGAGGTTCCAGAGCCAGACACAGGCCCGACTGAGCTCGCCTGGGACCGGATGTGGGGTGGAATGAGGTTGGAATTCAACCCTGGCTGGATGGACAGCTCTGCAAAGAAAAAAGAGAGAGGGTGAGGCACCCATAACTCATCTGGGGAGGATCCGTTCATTTCTGCAGGCTCTTCAGCGTGCCCGAGGAGCTGTTAACCTACAAAAGTTGAGAGCTCCACCAGACGTTTTATTTTTTGATACACAGCGTAAAAAGACACAACTTTGCAAATGAAAAAATGCATTGGAAACTCAAGCTCTTCGCCAGCGGTGTTTTTAAAGCAGCTTTTAATCTCCCAACACTGCAAAGCTTCCGTTCCCAATTAATTGTTTTAAGATCATTCACACTCAACCGCTCAAAGATGTTATCTGGAGCACGGTGCCAGCCTGATGTGAAAGGCTGCAGGCCACGTGATAGCCATCTAGGGCACTTTTCTCCTGTTAAAGCTGTTACACGGACAGCATCAACTTTGCTGAATTGAAAGGAGCTACGCTGTTTAAAAAAAGAGAATGTCAGCATTTCAGGTTGCAGCCAATTACGTTTCTAGGGCTGGTATTTTATTCCTTTGCCGGTTCTACTTCACGGAGGCGGAAACCCTTCCTGGGACACCTCACCTGACCTTTTGTACAGAGGGAAACCAAACCAGATTAACTCTCTCAATCATTTATTCATTCAAACACAGGGAATAGGAAGCAGCAGAAGATGGAATGGAGTGGTGAAAAGGGCCAGCAAAAATATAGATCTCACAATATAACTGTCATAAATTGAACTGGGAGCTGAAGTCCACGAGTCATAAAAGAGCCAAAGTTGCCTACCCCTGGTCTAGCGGATAAGGCACCAAGCTAGAAAGTGGGAGACAATGACTTCTAGTTCTGCCTGAGCCATGAAAGCCAGCTGGCTGACCTTGGGCCAATCACCAAGAGACTGGGAGTTCTAGTCATGAAAACTGGTTAGGTGATTTTGGGGTCATCGCTCTTTCTCAACCCATTTCACCTCAAGAGGGTTTTTGTTGTGGGGAAAACAGGAGGAAGTATTGTTCACCACCTTGAGTTATTTGCAAAAAAGCGGGATATAAATTAAATAAATAAAGCATTGGGGGGAGGAGAAGGCAGTTCCCGATACGGCATTCAGCAGCAGTTGATTTGATGCCTGGCTCGATCAAGGCATAGGTTGGACCATAAAAAAGGCTGAGCGCCAAAAAATGGAGACCTTTGAACTCTGGTGCTGGAGAAGACTCCTGCGAGTCCCCTGGACTGCAAGGCGTTCAAACCGGTCGGTCCTAGAGGAGATCAACCCCGACTGCTCTTTAGAAGGCCAGATCTTGAAATTGAAACTCAAGTACTTTGGCCACCTAATGAGAAGGAAGGACTCCCTGGAGAAGAGCCTAATGCTGGGAAAGATGGAGGGCAATAGAAGAAGGGGACGACAGAGAATGAGGTGGCTGGATGGAGTCACTGAAGCAGGAGGCGTGAGCTTCAATGGACTCCAGAAGATGGTAGAGGACAGGAAGACCTGGAGGAACATTGTCCATGGGGTCGCGATGGGTCGGACACGACTTCGCAACTAACAACAACAGTTCTCCATAACAAATATCTGTGCTTCCTTGAATTTTTCAGCATTTTGGGAGAGGGGGGGGTCAGCACTGTTTCCCTGATTATTATTATTTTTTCCCAGCATTTGGGGGACCGTTGTGCCTGTTTTCCCTCGGAATTTTTCTTTTTTAAACCAAAAACACTTGTTTGTGTCCGACTAATTAGATCCCAGCCACTTACCCACAGGGCTGAAATTGAAGAGCGGGGGCAAGTCACGGCCATTGGGCAACCGGGCGTTGGGCTCGCGCAGCTCGTCAAAGAAACTGTTGGCACAGGCCTCCAGGGGAGAGAGACGAGTGGCCGGGGTGTACTCAAGCAGGCGGCTGCACAGCGAGATGGCCTCCAGCGGCGTGCGAGGCTTAAACACCTGCGGCGGCAAGTAAAGTCAATGGAGAAGGCTGGCTTCGCTTAATGACTGCATTGCTTCGCTTACCAACCAAAAGGCTGTAAAAATCAGGTAACTCACATAACAGCTGCATTTCTTAGCCGTGAAAATCCTGGCCCCACTGTGGTCATAAGCTGAAAAATACCTGTGCGATGCATGTACAGTAGTGGCCGAAATTATGAAAACCTTTTGGGAAAAGTGTATTTTTGAGGTTTGATGGCTAATAGCACCACTTTTTTTTTTGGAGCAGTACCATAAAATTACATATCAATTGAAAGATAATTTAATCAAGAATGTAACGCAACAAAGTTCGTTCGATTATCTGTACTGTAGTCTATGAAAAGTTACAGCCAAATAACCAGAAAAAGGAAGCACAACTTGCTTAGGTTGATATCAGGGAGCTTTCCTTCATCTGACGGTAGCCAATGAGCGTTGAGTGTTTAGAGAGCCAATCAGGTATCATCTTGTTTTGGCCATGAGCCAATCAAATCACAGTAGGATCCAATGATTGATGTCATGTACTGAAGCTGAGAGAAGGACATTTGTCTCTGTGTTATGTGATCGCTATCAAGTTGGTTGGGGTTTTTTTGGTGTTCTTTCATTGAGCGAGCTTGTAAAACGTAATAAAATTAAAGTCATGGTGCAAAGAGTTGACTGGTCGCCCAGAAAGCGATGTAAAATAGTATTTTTAAGTGAACAAGGCAACAATTATAAAGAAATGAGAAGAAAAATGGGTGGCAACTTAACCGAAGTGTTCCTACTGTACACTTTTCCCAAAAGATTTCCACAATTTTGGCCACTACTGTAGTTGCTGTATTTAACTGGCACAAGGGCAGCTGGCAGGGTTCCCTGGGGTGGCCTGGTTGCAGAGATTTATTTTAAAGCCAGGCGCATGGAACCCAACGATGCCAGGACCCTTCAAACGTGCCCTTTTCAGGGCTACTCTAGAAATATAACTCTCTTGGGCAAGAGCATGAAGTCAGCCCTCACGTTTCATCTTTTCCGCCCTCTCTCTGCCCCCCTCTTTACCTTTATCCATGGATGTGCTTTGATCTGGGGGAACTTAAACTCTGTATAGTTGGGGTTCATCTCTCGTATCTGTTCCCGCGTCGGTGTTCCCAACACCTACAGGAGGGAAGGGAAGGAGAACGATCAGAGCACGGCAAGTCTGGATCGTACTTCGATTAACAAAAGTCCAGTCACTCATCAGCCCATCAGGCTGACTCTCCAGTTCCACTTTAGAGCGTTGTTTGCAGGACTGAACACAGGCTGTAGCACTCTCGCTAAAGGGCAGCTGGGGGGGGGGAGTTAAAAAGTTACCTTGATGATCTCCACGAGCTGATCCACTCCGCTGTCCCCAGGAAAGATGGGCTGCCCCAGGAGCAGCTCTGCCAGCACACAGCCGGCAGACCAGATATCTACGAGGGAAGCCGAAAAGGGATGTCGTCAGTCCCGCCCTGGCGAGCAGCAGTACCCCACTGCTTGCTGTAAGGAGCTTGCTGTCAATGCTGCAAATACTGTATATTCTTGCTTTGACAATATGCAAAACTGTCTGGTAATTACTGGGTTAATACATAGCTTAGAGTGGGGGGGGGGAAAGCCTGGGAAAGAAAGAGGAAGTAAACTTTTGACCTTCACACTAATTGGATAATGTGACTTGTGACTGCAAGACAAGGGAGGGGTTTAGCAAGAAAAGATTGATGCCAGCGAGAGGAAGTCAGATTCTGGCATCAATACGTCCATGATTGTGACCGGCAAAATTGTAGCTCTGTAATAAAGACTTTAGGAAACATGCCTGAAAGTTCTTTGAAGTGCTTCATTAGTCGGAACCTGTGACACTTGCAGTGCTTCCCCTTGGTTCCTGAAACCGCCCTCCCAGCTTGGCTGGTTTTCTGGCCAGACAAGAGATCTCGGCTTCAAAACTCAGCAGCTCCAAGCAGATGGCAAAACAAGGGCCAGCGAAAATGCTTGTCAGTGAAAGACAAAAACACGGTCCTAAGTGACAGGAATCAAAATGCTTGCTAAAAAGATTGGGGAGGCAGAGCTGAGGGGCCTAACGGCCACTTCCAATGCTCGCCTGACCGTTACAAATAGTCCTCCAGGTACAACTACAATTGTGACTGGAACTTCCGTTGCTAAGTGACGTGGTCGTTCAACGAGTCACATCCAATGTTACAACTTTTCCCACAGTGAAGTGCACTTGGTTTTCCCCATCAGCTTTGTTGGAAAGCCCTGGGAAGCTCATAGGTGGCAATCAGAGGGCCCAGTGTAGTAATCAGTGCTCAGTCATTGCAGGGTGCAAATACGGCTGCCCGTCTTCACAGCATTTATTGCATTGTGTACAGTTTTACAAGCAGCAAAAGTTTAACATGGCAATAGCGTAGCAATAGCATTTCATTGGTTAAACTCCTTACCAATCCTTAAGGATAGAAAGCCAAAGGCCCAAAACAGGGAGCAGTTGGCTGTAACATCCTGTTGGTGTAAGCTACCTGATATCAGGCAGGTGAGGTCATTGTACCAGCCTGGGGTACATTGTACCAGCCTGCCATGGTGATGTGTAGGGATGAGATAATGTAGAGCAGTGGTTCTTAACCTGTGGGTCAGGACCCCATTTGGGGTCAAACGACCATTTCACGGGGGTCGCCAAACAATGCAGTCCGCCATTTTTTTCCCCTTTTCCTTAGCTGTGCTACTCCCTTTTATTCTATTGGCTTTTGAAAGCCAATAGAATAGACTCTCTTGAATAGAGTCTAATTCTATTGGCTTTCAAAAGCCAATAGGAATTGTCCAGGCTGTCTCTGCCCTGCTGAGCCCGCCAAAAGTCCCATTCTGCCAACGGTGCTGCACCAGTTGAGTAGTCCTCAACTTACGACCGGTTGGGGGTCGCGGCATTAAAAAGGTTGAGAACCACTGATGTAGAGAGAAGAGGCACACAGGCTTTGGAGGGGCAGTTTGCTGCACACGACCTCTACCTGGCCCCCACCTCTACAGCCCAGGATGCTGCAACTATTTTAAAGACACGTCAGTTGCGGAATGTCCGAATTCTGACAATGTGGCCGCGGGGACCCTGCACTGCCACAACTTTGAACAGTTGCTAAAGGAATGGTCCTACCTATATAGGTCTGTCTTCCCAGGATGCAGCACAGACAAGAGTTATACCCTAATGCACCCCGTTTTCAGGCAGGCTACAACTCCCAGGATTCTCCAGCTAAGGCATTTCTGGAAGTTGTAACGCCACACCTGGAGGTTTTGGGAGAAGGCCAACGCTCGGAGTTTGCTTCCGGAAGCAACACATCGATAGGAAGGAAATTCACTTGGTCTGAGAGACAAAAACCTGTCAGATGCCTCAACGGGCGGCCAGGCCATTCTCACCTATGTTTGAAGTGTAATCGGTGGCTCCAAAAATGAGCTCAGGCGCACGATAATAGCGAGAACAGATGTAGGAAACGTTTGGTTCGCCCCGCACCAGCTGCTTCGCACTGAAAAAAAGAGGGAACGGTGGATGGGGGTCCAGAGAAAACTGGAATGCTGTTGAAATGAGGGCAGAGAGGCATAAATCAAAGCCTCCCTATGACCCCACCCTCAAGACCTCCAGCATTTGTGAACTTTATTATTTATTATCTAACCAAAAGTGAAAATTATTCAACACGCAATCTAAGAACGCCAATATAAATTATAATGTATCTACAGTACAATTCTATGTAAACAAAATAAATACAAGGATAGCTTTTGGTCCTGGCTCCACTCAGTTTTGGGGACTGCTGTTTGCCCTCAGCCCATCATTCAAAAGCCACAGAGCGATCTCAGCCCAGAAAAGGGATACCTGCTGCCCCATTTAAAAGAGTAACAGAGCTGGAAGAGACCTTGGAGGTCTTCTAGTCCAGCCCCCCCCCCCCCGCTCAAGCAGGAGACCCTATATTATTCCAGACAAGTGGCTGTCCAGTCTCTTTTTAAAAGCCTCCAGTGATGGAGCACCCACGATTTCTGAAGGCAAGCTATTCCACTGGTTAATTGTTCTCACTATCAGGAAATGTCTCCTTAGTTCCAGGTTGTTTCTTTTCTTCTTGAGTTTCCATCGGCTGCTTCTTGTCCTTTCTATTCTATTCTATTCTGTTCTGTTCTGTCCCTCCATTCCATTATTCTATTCTATTCTATTCTATTCTATTCTATTCTATTCTGTTCTGTTCTGTTCTGTTCCGTTCCATTCTATTCTATTCTATTCTGTTCTGTCCCTCCATTCCATTATTCTATTCTATTCTATTCCATTCCATTCCATTCTATTCTCTGTTCTATTCTATTCTATTCTATTCTGTTCCGTTCCGTTCTATTCTATTCTATTCTATTCTATTCTGTTCTGTCCCTCCATTCCATTATTCTATTCTATTCTATTCTATTCTATTCTGTTCTGTTCTATTCTATTCCATTCCATTCCATTCCATTCCATTCCATTCCATTCTCTGTTCTATTCTATTCTATTCTATTCTATTCTATTCTATTCCATTCCATTCCATTCTCTGTTCTATTCTATTCTATTCTATTCTATTCTATTCTATTCTATTCTATTCCATTCTCTGTTCTATTCTATTCTATTCTATTCTATTCTATTCTATTCTATTCCATTCCATTCCATTCTCTGTTCTGTTCTATTCTATTCTATTCTATTCTATTCTATTCTATTCTATTCCATTCCATTCCATTCCATTCCATTCCATTCCATTCCAATTCTATTTTTGGCTGTAGTGCCACAAGGTCTACAGGCAAACCCACTCCCCTGGTTAGAGGGTTATGTCGCGTGCTTCTCTCACCTGCCGAAGTCGCAAAGCTTCAGTACTGCTGTATCAGGATCCACCAACAGATTCTGAGGTTTGATGTCTCGATGACACACACCTTGAGAATGAATGTAAGCAAGGCTGCGGAACAACTGATACATGTATACCTGAATGGAAGAAGGGCAGCAGCCATTAACAAGTGTCAGTTTGATATACTTTAAATCATTAGCATAGAAAATAGCAGCCTGTGAATTCTTAGTCCTGCCTCAGACAGGAAAGCGGGCTAAGGGACTTTAGGCCAATGACCAGGAGATGGTGAGTTCTAGTCCCTCCTTAGGCATCAAAGCCGGCTGGGTGACTTTGAACCAGTTCCTCTCCCTCAGCTTGCCTCACAGGGATGTTGCTTATTGATTATTTAATTTTTATCTCACCTTTATTACCTTGGAGAGTGAACACACCTAATCCTTCTACTTTCCCCTGTATAACAATCCTCAATTGTTGCAGTGAAAACTGATGGAATGGGTAGTAGGTTATGTTCGCTGCTTTCAGTTGGCCAAAATACATATTTTAAAGTGGGATGAAAATATAATACTATATCTTAAAGCAAAAGCTAGCTATAAATATCGGCTTCCTTCATACTACGATCCTCCTCTAATTTTAATATAGCCAACATAAAGAGTAACGTGGTATCCGTCTACCTACTCTTATTATGGATAATGCAATCACATGTGATTTTAAAGCACATTCCTCTGTCCGATGATACCAATGTCCTTATTGTCTAGGCCAGGGGTAGGCAACCTTGGCTCTTTTATGACTGGTGGACTTCAACTCCCAGAATTCCTGAGCCAGCCATGCTGAGGGGAAAGAGAGAGGTTTCCATGCTGAGCCATGCTGGCTCAGGAATTCTGGGAATTGAAGTCCACGAGTCATGAGGGGGGCCATAGTTCTCCCATGCTGGCTCAGGAATTCTGGGAGTTGAAGTCCATGAGTCATAAAAGAGCCAAGGTTGCCTACCCCTGGCCTAGCAGATTCAGTTCAGCATATCTGGAAGCTGTTAGCTTTCCCCAACCTATCTTAAGATTACCAGAATTGAAAGACCGTGTTGCATCCGAGCAGATACTTCCAACAGCAACTGGGCAAGTATATTTGAGAATTTAAATGAGATAACCTTCCCTATTATCATTTGTCCCTATCGTCTGTAGTCCTCAACTTACAACCACAATGAAGCCTGGAATTTGGGTTGAAAGTCATTGCGTTCATAAGTTGAGGCACCAAGTGATTCACTGTGTGATTCATTTTACGACCTTCGACTTAATTTGAAGACTGTTTTCAGGGAGGCCGTAAAGAGAGTTGCCTGATGAATCACTTGATTGGTAAGCAAATCAAACATAGGCATTATGCAAATTAAACATAGTCAATGGACTTTTTTTTTTTTTTTTTTGCTGTTTTCTGCCAGAAAAATGGGGGGGGGAGACAGAAATCATGATCACATGACTGCAGGACACTGTAGATGGTCGTAAATGTGAGCCGGTTGCCAAGCACCCAAAATGCAATCACATGACCACAGGGGTGGGGGGCGGGATGCAGCAGACGTAATTTCGAGGACAGGTCGTTAGTTATTTTAAAGACCGCTGCAACTTCAGACGGTCATTAAGCGGGGACTGCCTATAATACGTCTGCAAAAAGGGGGTCCTAATCGGACAGCCTGTTGATCAATGTTGGTAGATCCCATCATTATGGAGGCATCAAATCAAAGCCTCAATGCTCGCTGTCGTCCATTTGTGCAATAGACTATCCCAGTGGTAGCAAACCTATGGCACGCGTGCCAGAGGCGGCACTCGGAGCTCTCTTTGTGGGCACGCGCACCATGCCCTGGAGAGGGCAACCATCTTCTTCAACCAGCCGCCCGCTAACTTGCCGAGGTCCCATGCGCTTGCTGGCCTCTGTGTGCGGGGGCCGATGGTGTCAGGCAACAGCCCCCTGGCCCCTGCCTCGCCTAGCCCTGCGACATGGCACCCCCGCCCTGCCTCGCCTCACCCCGCAGAACCAGCCTCCTGTCCACCGCCCCACCCGCCAGAGACCCCTGGATCTCCCCCAACCCTGCCCGGCCCCCACAGGTGTCCCTCCCCAGGAGCAACATTGAGTTGGCCATGCCCACCCTGGCCATGCCCACCCGGCGGGCCACGGCCACCTGGCCAATACATAAGGTGGTTTGGGGTTGAAGTTTAGACACTCGGTCTCTAAAAGGTTTGCCATCACTGGACTACCCCATGGAAAACATAGGGGAAACGCCATGCCCACGGGTCATGGGTATGGATGGATTAAAAAGGGGGGGGGGATTTTTTTCTTTTAGCACTCTTTCTGCTAAACCACTGCTAGTTAACTCAGTGTTTCTCAACCTTGACAATTTTAAGGCATGTGGACTTCAACTCCCAGAATTCCACAGCCAGCATTGCTGGCTGTGGAATTCTGGGAATTGAAGTCCACATGCCTTAAAATTGTCAAGGTTGAGAAACACTGAGTTAAATGGACAGAAAAACCTAGATGCAGGCAGAAACGATCACAGCGCAGAATAACTATCGAATTCCGTTTGAGAACTCCTGACAGGAACCTAAAGGGAGTTAAGAGAATGAGGGGGGAAAGAGAAATGAGAGAGAATGAAGAATGTGGGGAGAAGACAAATAAACTGAACAGAAGGGCAGGCAAATACACCCATTCCAGTAGTCATACGATGAACGTGGGCTACGGGCCGAACTATTGCACTGTGTGGTCGTGAATGCGAACGTTGCTTGATTTTAGTGCTTGTCAAATATATTATGGAGAGAGAAAATTAGGAGCTTTTTTTAAACCACAAAATAATGCGAGTCAGTTTTCTTAACGGTGAAATCCACTTCTTTTTGCTTGGCCTGAGGCAGTCTGCAGCTGCCACCCACAGCAGCCATCAAGGGCAGACGGGGATCACTATGGCATCCAAATTGTGAGTCATCCTTTGCCCATGGTTCATTACCGCTTGCCCCAAGGGAAGCAGCCCTGGATGGGGAGGAAGACATGCACAGTCTGTCCCAGAAGCCTTGCTCACTGGGCTGCATGTGGTTGTCACCACCAATTGCAACAAGGAGCCATTCCAGAAGTTCTCCTTAAAAAAATAACTTATATTTGTTTGCAATCTTTCGGCTGGCTTAAAAGCCATTTGGAGAGGACTGGCCTCGAAAGACATAACGATACTAATGAAACAAATAAATAAACAGAGCCAGTTTGATCTAGTGCAGTGATGGCAAACCTTTTAGAGACCGAGTGCCCCAAGACCGCCCCCGCTCTGCCTCCTGCCCTTGCTTGCTCTACCCACACCTGCCCCCTGCCTCACCTGCCCGCAGGCCACGCACAGCCTCCATGGCCCGCTGCAGATTGCCCAGGCAGCCCTGCAGCGCCATGGCAGCCATGCCCTCCGCCACACCCCGCAGCATCATCTGCACACTATGGGGCTCGAGGGTGGAGTCTTGTCCATGCTGCCCGGCTGTGTCCTTGGCTGTGCTGCTCTGTGCGGGCCGTGCCTGGGGGTGACTCTCCTCCAGGGGGGCTGCTGGTGAGGAGGGGGCCACAGGGGGAGGTGGGGCTGGGGCGACGGTGCATGTGTCCACAGAGAGAGCTCCAAGTGCCGCCTCTGGCACGTGTGCCATAGGTTCGCCACCACTGATCTAGTGGTTAAGGCACCGGACTAAAAACTGGGAGATGGTAAGTTCTACTCCCACCATATCTATGAAAGCTAGCTGGGTGACTTTGGGCCAATCACCAGGAGATGGTGAGTACTAGTTCCACCTTAGCTGGAAAGCCAACTGGGTGACTTTGGGCCAGTCATTCACTCTCAGTCCAAATCACCTCACAGGATTGTTGTTGTGGGGAAAATAGGAGGAAGGAGGTGTGTTGGATATGTTAGCTGCCTTATTTGTAAAAATAACAAAGGCGGGAGATGGATGGATGGATGGATGGATGGATGGATGGATGAATGGATGGATGATAGATAGACAGATGATAGATAGATAGATAGATAGATAGATAGATAGATAGATAGATAGATGGATGGATGGATGGATGGATGGATGGATGGATGGATGGATGGATGGATGGATGGACGGACAGACAGATGGACATAAGGGCAAAACAGATATTTGCCTTTGGACTCCCTACAAGTAAAAAAAAACCTGATAATAATAAAGAAATAGCTGCTAAAGCCATTGCAAAATGCCATGCCATTCCATCTTTACACCCTGCCCCTTGAAGAGAGGGACAAACCAAATTCGACCCACTTTTCGGAGAAAAAGATCAAGAATTAAAAATAAAAGAACAACAATAAAAGAAAAAAAAAGAAAACACAGCACCCCAAAAGCACTGCATTTAATGGAAAGGTGGTTCGAAAAAGACCAAGGTATTTAAAAAAAACAAAAACCCGGAGGTATTTAAACTCAAGTGATTAAGAAGAATGCAAGGCAGGGTGGCACCCAGGACAGGTCATGCAATGGGGACCAAAGCTATTTAAGTGATGGGGAGGAGGGGAGAGAGAGAAAAAAAAAAGGGGGGGGAAGGTTTAAAAAAATAGGCTTTGTGTAAGGAAAGTCTCCTCCCAGTTTTTCTGGTAAAAAAGAGCTCAGGTCAGGAGGTGGTGGGATTCAACCGGAGCCCCTGGAAAGCTGCTATTCTTAGTTCGATAATGCCCAGCTGCTGGTAGAACCAAAAGTTTTCTTGGGAATCGGACGTTTTCTTGGCATACTCTCGTGTGGGATTTTATAAGTACAGGAAGAATAAAGAGATCTTTAAATCAAATAGGAATCCACCCAATCACTTGAAAGGCAAGCGGAAGGCAAAGAGCTACTGGTATGCAAAGAGGTGTTAAACAAGAACAGTGATCCCACTTCAGAGGTAGCTGGAGATCAGCTTCCAGGCTAAAGGTGAGGGTCAGCTGGCTTTGTGCTCCTCGCAACAACTGGACAACTACCGTTTCCCAATGCCAGTCTTGGCACTGCAGTCTGAACACTATCTTCCGTCCCTGAGTAATGCAAAGGCCAGGGCAGGTAGGAGAAGATAACCAAGTTGTAGCCAGACTGAGCCCTACAACGATTAACTTCACTGAAAATCAAGGGGCTTTGATTTGGACCCATTCAAGCTTCTTCCACACACAATATAAAACCCAAACAGTCAGTGGGGCAGGGCAACAACAGTCATATTCAATTCATGCCTTAGAAATAGAAGGTTCGTTCTAGAGAAAAGTCTATCTGGCTGCTTAAAAAAAATGACATTAATATTGTTATTAAATAGCCAGGGAAGATGGAAGGCATAAATGCTCGATGGGCAAAAATAATTTTACAGGAATAATTTCTCTTGTTAAGACAGTATTACGGGTGAAGGATTCCGCCGCAAACAAGTTTCTTTTCTTTTTTTTTATGATAATCGGAACAAATGCCCCCAAAGGCGTTACCCACAAGAAAGCTCACGTCGGACACCCATTCTGCCCAACCCGCAAACTGTAACTGATTCCCACAACTTCCTCCAGTCCTCAATGTGCAAACAACGGCTTGGTTTTTCTCCTAAACCAGGGGCAGGCAACCTGGGCTCTTTTATGACTCGTGGACTTCAACTCCCAGAATTCCTGAGCCAGCATGGCTCACCATGGAAACCTCTCCCTTTCCCCTCAGCATGGCTGGCTCAGGAATTCTGGGAGTTGAAGTCCACGAGTCATAAAAGAGCCAAGGTTGCCTACCCCTGGCCTATACTGTTCAAATGGCTGTCCAGTCTCTTCTTAAAAGCCTCCAGTGATGGAGCACCCACAACTTTTGGAGGCAAGATGTCCCACTGCTTAACTGTTCTGACAGGAAATTTCTCCTCAGTGCTAGGTTGCTTCTAGAACGAAGGAGAAATTTCCTAATGGTGAGAGCAATAGACCAATGGACTAGCTCGGGGGTAGGTGACCTGGGCTCTTTTATGACTCGTGGACTTCAACTCCCAGAATTCCTGAGCCAGCATGGCTAAGCATGGAATCCTCTCCCTTTCCCCTCAGCGTGGCTCGCTCAGGAATTCTGGGAGTTGAAGTCTACCAGTCATAAAAGGGTCATAGTTCCCTCATGCTGGCTCAGGAATTCTGGGAGTTGAAGTCCACCAGTCATAAAAGGGTCATAGTTCCCTCATGCTGGCTCAGGAATTCTGGGAGTTGAAGTCCACGAGTCATAAAAGAGCCAACGTGGCCTGCCCCTGACCTAAACCTAAGCCGTGATTTTTAAACCCTGGTTTGCTGAACAAAAGCCACAGTGGCCTGCTCATGATGTGAAGTTGTGAGTGAAGAGAGACAGAGATACGAAACCAAAAAAAAAAAAAAAAAAAAAAGAGAGAGAGAAAGGAAGTGTGTTCAAAGGGAAAGCGTGGGGAGCAGTACACTCACTTCTCTGCTCTGTAGACCGGCCTTCAGCAATTCTGCTCAAGGTCACTCTCTCCCTTTAGGGGAGGGACACGTTTTTCTCCTCTACAAAGTTCCTTTCCCAGCCCAAAGCGCTTGCATTTGGTTAAGAGTCCGAGACCCCTTCTGCAGGCCCACAGAAGGAAACGGATGGATTCTCCCATGACGCTCAACCTAAAACTCCAATCTCATTTATAGCTTCGTATGCGGTGGGAATTAACCAAAGCCTCCCTTCGCTGGTAGGAGAGGTTTCGAGAGAGGAGCCGTACTTACCTTCACATAGATGACAGGGATGGTCTGTTTGGCTTTGGTGAAGTGGCGGGCCACACGATAGACCGTTTCGGGCACGTAGTCCAGGACTAAATTAAGGTAAACTTCATCCTTCTGCAAGAGAGTGCAGAATGTAAGAGAACAAATGGGATCCCCCCCCAACTCACAGCGCCTTATCCAACAGGGGTGGGGAACTGTGGCCCTTTGATGACTGGTGGACTTCAACTCCCAGAATTCCTGAGCCCTCAGGAATTCTGGGAGTTGAAGTCCACAAGTCACCAAAGGGTCACAGTTCCCTACCTCTGCTATAACACGACTATAGACTATACCAGGGGTAGGCAACTTTGGCTCTTTTGTGACTCATGGACTTCAACTCCCAGAACTCCTGAGCCAGCCATGCTGAGGGGAAAGAGAGAGGTTCCCAGGCTGAGCCATGCTGGCTCAGGAATTCCGGGAGTTGAAGTCCACGAGTCATAAAAGAGCCAAGGTTGCCTACCCCTGGTCTAGGTTTATTCTAACCACACAGCCCAGCTCCCTCTAGGACACGGGTAGGCAACCTTGGCCCTTTTATGACTCGTGGACTTCAACTCCCAGAATTCCTGAGCCAGCCATGCTAAGGGGAAAGGGAGAGGCTCAGGAACATGCTGGCTCAGGAATTCTGGGAGTTGAAGTCCACAAGTCATAAAAGAGCCAAGGTTGCCTACCCCTGAACTAGACATCCCTAATTCCATTGCTGGCAATAGGGTGGGCACGGCTTCTGCATGACATGTCCGGCCAGCCGTTTGACACCCCTGAACTAACTGTCCTCATAGGCTCAGAATACTTACCTAGACAGAAACTTTATCCTGGAACGGTTAGTTCTAAGACAGGGGTAGGCAATCTTGGCTCTTTTATGACTCGTGGACTTCAACTCCCAGAATTCCTGAGCCAGCATGGCTCAGCATGGCAACCTCTCCCTTTTCCCTCAGCATGGCTGGCTCAGGAATTCTGGGTGTTGAAGTCCACGAGTCATAAAAGAGCCAAGGTGGCCTACCCCTGAGCTAGGCCTGTATTTCTCAACCTTGGCCACTCGGAGATGGGTGGACTTCAACTCCCAGAATTCCTTACCCATCATGGCCAAGGTGGCCTACCCCCCGACTAGACTATCGTTGTTTATTTGATTTGTATGGCAGCCCATCTCATCTAAGCAACGCTGGGCTGCTGACAACAGGTTAAAAAAAAAAAATCCCACAAAAAAGGCAAGTTAAATATCAACATACAAACACATAAAAAGCATCCCGCATCAGTGATGGAAGCCTGCATCTTGTTAGCAATGTCGCTTCAATAAAGAAAGATTCTAGCCCTGCTTGGGTAGCTGCAGTCTAAAAATGCAGAGATAAACATGCTTTGTTTATAAAATGAGAAAGGCCCTTTCCTGTCACCCTCTCAGAAAGCGGGGTGCAGCCGGCACCGTTGTGGCTTCCTCCTCTATAATTCTTGCGGTTTTGTGCTCAGAGGTATCCTGCTATTACTATCTCCAATTATTTTTGGATTCAGCTCCAAACATGCAACTTGCAGCGGAACTCCAGAGTCTCTTGCCTCGACTAAAACAGGGCTTTTCAACCATTTCACCCATTGTACCACTTTTAGGATATGGCAACATCCGAGTACCACCAGTCGCCTAGCAAGGGGTCAAAAACATGATGACCAAAAAAAAGGAAAGAAAGTGATAAAGTACAGGTAGTTCTCGACTTACAACAGTTCGCTTAGTGACTGTTTGAAGTTACAATGGCACTGAAAAAAGTGCCCCCCAAGCCACAGCCAAGCAAGACACCTGCCTGCCCGCCCGGTGGCACTCTTCCTCCTGTCCGAGGTTTTCATTGTTGTGAGCATTTCTGTTGAGGATTGGCAGCGGGGGTGGGGTGGGGTGGGGAGGTGTTTGGTTTTTATTCCCCCCGTCTGCTGGGTGGTTGCAGCAGGTTTTGGTCGCTTCACATGACCCTGGGACACTGTGACTGTCATAAATGTGAATCAGTTGCCAAGCATCTGAATGTAAATCACAAGACCCTGGAGAAGCTGCAACAGTCCAGCGGATCGGCGCATCTTCTGGGCTCAGCAGAAGCGCCAGGATCAGCGCTGCTTTCCAGCTGATTGGTGCTTCTTCAGGGCTCAGCAGAAGCACCAGGATCAGGGCCGAGCTCCAGCTGGAGCCTGGCGCTGATCCTGATGCTTCCACTGAGCCCTGACAGCCCTGCAGCTCCAGCCGTCTCTCACTCAGGCTTGTGCGGTGCTGCCACCGGTTCAGCTCATTCCCCTCCCCCGCTACTTTTCTAGGATGCTGGCGTACCACCTGCCAGGTGCCAATGTACCACAGGTGGTACCCGTACCACTGGTTGAAAAGCCCTATTCTATTCTATTCTATTCTATTCTATTCTATTCTTTCTAGTCTAGTCTAGTCTAGATCAGGGGTTCTCAACCTTGGCAACTTTAAGACTTGTGGACTTCAACTCCCAGAATTCCTCAGCCAGCTTTGCTGGCTGAGGAATTCTGGGAGTTGAAGTCCACAAGTCTTAAAGTTGCCAAGGTTGAGAACCAATGTTGAGAACCCCTGGTCTAGATTCATTGCATAAATCCTATTAATCCATGTTCAAGTTCCCTTTGGGACTATCACTATGGGAGATCACTTGAGCCGCAACCAGGTTTAAGCTCCTATTTGGTTTTCAAACTCATTGGAGAACTTTGACACACATAGCCGTTGAATTCATGCAATGCCTTAAGACAGAATCCAACAAACCACAGCGTTACCAGGAGACCAGATAATATCTATCAACCTAATCTGTCTCACAAGGCTAATGGGTGGGTAAAACTGGAGAAAAGAGCGGACCAGAAGTATAGGGAGGACACGTTGGAGAAACAGTGCAGACACCAAAACGCTAGCTCAACCAGAGGGAATCCGCGTTTGAACAGAACGTGTCCAGAAAAAATATCTTTTCCAGTGATCATGACACCTAGTAAGCTTAATGAATAAAAACATGAATACTCAATCTAGAGGGGGTACATATAGTCCACCTCAGTCAACAGGTGCATGGAAGCACAAACTATAGTAAGGAGGACTTAAAATCTTACCAAAAAAAAGGTTTTTAATATAAAAAAAACCCTCATGGTGTCAAAAACCAGGAGAATATCAAAGTGCGACTGAAAGATAAAAGTATCAAAAGTCAGGACAGGAACGTCAATCAAGAATTAGCCACTTACACTCCTGCCTGATCCATCTTCTAAAAAATCAACAATATTCCATGACAAGGTAGATAAAAATCAGCCGGTCACAGTCCAATACTTTTTAGTTTATAAGATAAATGACAAGAGTCTATAGGAAGTGAGTGGTATAAACATTTCTCCATTCTCCAGCCTGGTTAATTGCCATTATTTTTCCCTGTTATTTCTCTTACTAGCCTGTTTCCACATTGAGAAATCTGTGTGGAATCCAAGAGCTACAAAGCCATTTTGAGTAACGATCTGATTACTACTCCAGATAACCTCTATGCCAGTGGTGGCGAACCTATAGCACCGGTGCCAGAGGCGGCACTTGGAGCCCTCTCTGTGGGCACACGCACTGTCTCCCCAGCCCTGCCTCCTCCCACGGCCCCTTCCTCACCAGCAGCCTCCCCCCGGAGGAGAGTTGCCCCTGGGTGCAGCCCACACGAAGCAGCGGAGCCAAGGACATGATAGCTGCGCAGCGGGGACAAGACTCTGCCCTTGCATCCCGTTGTGCGCAGATGATGCTGCGGGGCACGGGTGGAGGGCATGGCCGCCATGGCACTGCTGGGCTGCCTGGGTGATCTGTGGCGGGCCATGGAGATGGTGGGTGGCCCAGTGGACAGGGCGGAGCAGGGACAGGGGTGGGGGGCAGTTGTTGGGCACTCGGTCTCTAAAAGATTCGCCATCACTGCTCTATGCTTACATTACTTTGGAAAACTGTGTGGATCAGCAGTTATGGATCTCTTAACTACTCATCCTGGCTCAGAGAACTCTATTAAATGGACCTTCTTTTCAATCTCTGATTCAATAAACTTATGCAATAAACACTAGGAGATGTTTCCTTCTTTGGAGGTTTTGTCCACCAAGGGAAGGAAGTAAATTATTTGTGGTTTTTTTCCTTCCCAAGGTCTAGTATACTGCAGGCGTTCCTCCACAATTGAGCCCAAACTTTCTGCTGCTAAGCGAGACAGTTGCTAAGTGAGTTCTGCCCCATTTATACGACCTTTCTTGCCGTCGTTAAACTAGTAACGTGACTGTTAGTTGAATCAGGCTTCCTCCATTGGCTCTGCTGGTCAGACAGTCGCAAAAGGTGATCACATGACCCCAGGACACTGCAACCGTTATAAATATGAGTCCATTACCAAGCCTCTTGAATTTTGATCATGTGACCGTGGGGATACTCACTTTTGCAGTGCTGTTGTAATCTGAACTGTCACTAAATTAAGGAGAAGCTTCCTGACAGTGAGGGCAATCAACCAGTGGAACAGCTTGCCACCAGAAATCATGGGCGCGCCGTCACTGGAGATTTTTAAGAAGAGACTGGACACTCACCTGTCTGAGACAGTATAGGTTCTCCTGTTTGAGCAGGGGGATGGACTAGAAGACCTCCAAGGTGCCTTCCAGCTCTATTCTATTCTAAATGAACAGTTATAAGTCGAGGACTATCTGTATCTATCATCTGTTTCAAGAATGGGCTATGAAGTACAAAGGATGCATTTTGATTGTGAACATGGAGGGGCATCAAGTATTAACCCAAATTTCTTGAGTCAGGTCATAAACATGGTTTCTGCACAGTCTTGGATTCCTGTCAACGCTTTAGAGCAGGGGTCTCCAACCATGGCCACTTTAAGACTTGTGGACTTCAATTCCCAGAATTCCTCAGCTAGCATGAATCTTAAAGATTACCAAGCTTGGAGACCCCTGCCTTGCAGTATAGACAGTATACTATAGATCAGGGCTTTTCAACCTTTTCACCCATTGTACTACTTTTAGGATATGGCAATATCCGAGTACCACCAGTCGCCTACCAGGGTGTCAAAAACATGATGACCAAAAAAAAAAAAGGGGAAAAAGTGATAAAGTACAGGTAGTCCTCAACTTACAACAGTTCGCTTAGTGACTGTTCGAAGTGACAATGGCACTGAAAAAAGTGCCCCTCGAGCCACAGCCGAGCAAGACACCTGCCTGCCCGCCCAGCGGCGCTCTTCCTCCTGTCCAAGGTTTTCATTGTTGTGAGCATTTCTGTTGAAGATTGGCAGTGGGGATGGGGTGGGGGTGTTTGGTTTTTATTCCCCCCCGTCTGCTGGGTGGTTGCAGCAGGTTTTGGTCACTTCACATGACCCTGGGACACTGTGACTGTCATAAATATTCAGATGCTGAATATTACATTCAGCATCTGAATGTAAATCACAAGATCCTGGGGATGCTGCAACAATCCAGCTGATCGGTGCTTCTTCTGGGCTCAGCGGAAGTGCCAGGATCAGCGCCGAGCTCCAGCTGGAGCCTGGCGCTGATCCTGGCGCTTCCCCTGAGCCCTGACAGGCCTGCAGCTCCAGCCGTCTCTCGCTCAGGCCTGTGCGGTGCTGCCACCGGTTCAGCTCATTCCCCTCCCCCGCTACTTTTCTAGGAAGGTTGCGTACCACCTGCCAGGTGCCAATGTACCACAGGTGGTACCCGTACCACTGGTTGAAAAGCCCTGCTATAGAGAAAGAAAGGGATTACGGGAATTCCAGTCCAAAATACAAAGTGGGCAAATTACAAATCTGAGGCAGACCCTCAAAAGCAGAAAGAGGGCCAAGAAAAAAATAAGCCCCGTTACTCTTCTATGGCGTGCCCTCTTTTCTCTCTTTCCAGCTTTTCCTTACCTTTTCTCCGCTCGAGTAGAAGAAATATCGCAGGCGGACAATATTGCAATGATCCAGCTTCCGCATGATCTGTAGCTCCCGGTTCTGAAGTAAAGACAAGAGCGGCCAAAATGAGACAGGGAAACCCAGTGGTAAAACCAGCAAAAGACAGACCAGCCCCTTCCAGTCTCACCTTGAAACGTTTATCTTGTAATACCTTCTTGATAGCCACCAGCTCACCAGAGTCTGCTAATCGGGCTTGGTAGACAACGCCAAAGGACCCATTGCCGATCACTTTGATATCGGAATATGAGACTTCTTGAGGGCGGTCAGGACCCTGGCCGGGTGTGGCCACCACCGTGGTCACTTTACTATTATCTCCTGGAAAGAGGAAGGACGGTCAAGTCCAGATGGCTCAGACGGGACAAAAGTCTGATGTAGTCCAAGTGGCCTAGTTTGAACTTCCCATGTGTCTTCCTCTGTCTTTCCCAATCCATCTCCACAAACGACACCCTTAAAACATGTCCCGTTCTAATGAAAAAGATGATCTTCACCAAACCCACATTAATACTAATAGCAATAGGCGCCTTGGGTGCAACCCCGAAAACAGCCCGAACACTCCTTGAATACCATCAACATTGAGAAAATCCTCCTCAGTCAATTGCAAAAGGCAGCTTCACTCGGAACAGCTGACATCCTGATACATATCTGTAACACCTTCAAACATGCTCATCTGCCTATTCCAGGTCCCTGGGAAGGACTTGATAGGTGGACAAAAATACCAAACCCAGTCTGAACATCTGGCTGTGTGATGAACCATAGGAATAATAATAATAATATAAAAAAACAAGTGGTTCATCCTTGGCCCCATGGGTTCCAAAGTCAAATTCTACCCTAAGACGACCCAGACGCCTACAAAGCACATCATCACATCCCAACTCCTGACGTGCTTGAATGCCAGGAAGGAACAACTAGATGCCGCCAGGAAAGAGCAACTAGATGCCCTAGTAGCAAGGTTGACCTTTTAAGATGTGATGGCCGGCTCATTGCTACCAAACCTGCTACCAAACCGGGGGTAAGTCGTTAAGAAAAACTGGGGGGGGGCAAATAACCAGAGAGAAGAGCAGAAGGACAAAAGATTCGGGCACCCATTTGTTTTTTTTTGCCCAAAGGAGCTGGCAAACCACTACCATGGGCTTTATCCTCCCGCCTGCCTCACCCGGTTTTCCTGCTACAACTTGCATCCCTGGTGAGTTTCGCTTCAGGCTTGCCACTCCGATGCCCTCACCCCTCGCCTGACACCCCCCCCCGCCCCACCCCTCGGCCCCCACCTCTGGCCAGCAGGCTCTTCTCTCCCCTCTTCCCTCCAGCTGTCTCCCCTCGCAGCCCTGGGGCTCCGGGGGAAGAGCCTCTAGCAGCCCAAGGCAGGGCGCCCCTTCGCCGCAGCCCTCCTTCTTCTTCTCCTCCTCCTCCTCCTCCTTCGCAGCCGAGCCCAACCGGCGCTCCATCCAAAGGCTACGGGCGCCCGCAGTCGGCAGCCGGGGACAGCCCCGGGAAAGCAAGCCCCGGAGGCCTCCTCTTGCCCAACCTCTCTCCCCCCCCCACCCCACTCCCTACCCCTGATTTCATCCTGACGTCACCGGGGTAATTCTGCAGCCCTCTTCCAGTTGCTGACCTCGGATAGCTTCGCCCTCCCGAGCCCCGGTGCTGCCAGGGGAGGACTTCTAGGCGGGCGGGCGGGCGGGCTCACCTTGGGCGAACCCAGCCGGCCTTTCCGCCCTACCCCGGCCGGGCCCAACGCCCCCCGCCCACTCGAGGGGCGTCCCCTGGCCCTCCCCACCTGCTCCCTCCCTCCCTCCTCCTCCTCCCCCAGAGCCCCCTGACCCAACTCCTGCGGCCCCCCCCCGGGGGCAGATGAGGCTCGCGGGGTCTTCCCCCCCCCGCCCAGGTTTCCCCTTTCCGCAGCGCGGCTCCTGCCCCTCCCGGCGCCTCGTGCCCGGCTCCTGGCGCCCCCCCCGCCCCCACCCCATTCCGGCCCCCTCGGCGCTCCTCCTTTGTGTGGCTCCCCCTGCCGCGCCTGCCCATTCATTCCCGCCCCGCCCGGCCCGGCCCAGACTTACGCCCGAGCTTGAGCCCCGGGACGGCGACCGTCGAGCTGGTCCCGCCTCCCCCCGGGCCAGGCCCGGCAGCCCCCCCGGGTTTGCCCCCAGGCGCTGCCCCCGAGGTTGGGCCGGGCGCGGTGGGGGCCGTGGCGGGAGCCCCGCCGGACGGGTCTGCGAAGGAGCTCGTTCGGGGCCGGGAAGAACCGGCGCTGCCGCTGCTCATGGTGAGGCCGACACCGGGGAAAAGGGGAGGGGGGGCCGCGCTGGCTGGCTCCGTCTGAGGCGGCTTGGGAGCCGGCCCTACCCGGCCCTGTTGCAAGAGCCGACGGGAAATGGAGTCTCGGGCGCGGCCCGCCTACTTATCTGTTACGGAAGGGAGAACTCGATTTCCCAGAAGGCGCCGCGCAGGGGACGGTCGTCAGCGCGGCGGCCGAAAGAGCTGATGGGACATACAGTCCTCTCATCCCGCACCCTTCTGCAGCCGGCCGGGCTCAGGACTACAAGCCCCGGTGTGCCTAAGCCTTGAAGCGAGGGAACGTGGGAAATGGAGTCTTAGTCTTCGTAGCGCGTAATTCAGAGCTGACGGGAGAGCACTCCGCTTCCCAGCATTCCTCGCGCGGACCTGGCCAGCCTATCGCACAAGAGGCAAGGGGACGTCTGAGGGGAAAAAAAAAAGATTTGAGTTTGGCTCCGCCCAACCAGAGCAGGGAAAGGAATCATGAGGCGCGATAGAGGCGCGAGGCGAGCGCTCGGCCGCCTGAAGAAAAAGCCAAGAGACTTAACCTTTTGCCCATCGCCATTTCTTATCCATTACCCCAAACTCAAAGGGATCCGCCTGGAGGGCTAACAGGCTGTGCGGCGCGACGCACGGAGGGGGAAAACTTGAGGGGCTCCGGCAACTGCTTTTCCCGAAGTGCTTTGCGCAGGCCCCGTGACTCGGCCTGGGCTCGGGCTACCAGGGCGGACTACGGGTCCCAGAGTGCATTGCGAGCAGAAAAGGCGTCGTTGGGCTGAGGGGTCTTGGCGCCGCCGAAGTACCGAGGAGTCGTGAAACCCTTCGCCGCCGCCGCGGCAGACGAGAAGCGCGATATCCAACCAGGCGGCCGATACCCCCGGCCCGGAGGGCAGTCGGAGGAGCTCAGGCGGCCTTTCGGGCGCCCGGCGCGGCCCCGACACGCTTCCCGTCATGCACCGCTCTGCCCTCGAGAGGACTTCTGGGAGTTGTAGTTTGCACTACAGCTGGATAAAGGCCTCTGGCTCAGAACCAAAATAACAGAATTGGAAGGGACCTTGTGGGGGATCTAGTCTTGGAGGCAAAAATCAATAGCACTTAGGCCTATTATACGTTTTTATTCTTAACACATTTATCCCACCAAACTGAAAGTGGAACAGTATACAGGTAGTCCTCCACTTACAGCCACAATTGAGCCCAAAATGTGTGTGGCTAAGTGAGAAGTCGGTTAAGTGAGTTTTGCTCCATTTTATGACTTTTCTTGCCACATTTGGCAAGGGAATCACTGCAGTTGTTAAATCAGTAACACGGTTGTTAAATGAATCTGCTTTCCCCACTGACTTTGCTTGTGAGAAGGTCGCAGAAGAGGATCGCGTGATTCCGGGACGCTGCAACCGCCATAAGTTCATGCCAGTTGCCAAGCATGTGAACGTAAATCATGTGACCAGGGGGATTCTGCAACGGTCATAGGTGTGAAAATTGGTCATAAGTCACTTTTTTTCCGTGCCATTGTAACTTTGAACGGTCACTAAGCAAACTGTCATAAGTTGAGGACTACCTGTAGCTTTTCTTTGATTTATTTTGCAAGAACCCAGTGAAGTAGTAGATGGCAATGCTGGGTTGTATATCAATCATTACATTTCATAGAGGAGTGGGAATTTAATCCAGGTTGTTTGAATTTTATGATTGATGATCAATAACTTATCACTTTGTTAGAATAGAATGGAATGGAAGAATAGAATAGAACAAAGCAGAACAGAATAGAATAGAATAGGAACAGAGCAGAATAGAATAGAATATATAGAATAGAATACAGAATAGAATAGAATAATGGAATGGAATGGAATAGAATAGAATAGAATAGAATAGAATAGAATAGGAATAGAATAGAAAATGTGGAATGGAATGGGAATATTAGAATAGAATAGAATAGAATAGAATAGAATAGAATAGAATAGAATATATGGAATGGAATGGGAATATTAGAATAGAATAGAATAGAATAGAATAGAATAGAATAGAATAGGAATAGAATAGAAAATGTGGAATGGAATGGGAATATTAGAATAGAATAGAATAGAATATATGGAATGGAATGGGAATATTAGAATAGAATAGAATAGAATAGAATAGAATAGAATAGAATAGAATAGAATAGAATAGAATAGAATAGAATAGAATAACAGAGTTGGAAGGGACCTTGTAGGTCATCTAGTCCAACCCCCTGCCCAAGCAGGAGTCCCTCCACCATTTCTGACAGATGACAGTCCAGTCTCTTCTTGAAAGCCTCCAGTGATGAAACACTGACAACATCTGAAGGCAGTCTGATCCATTGATTCATTTTCTCACTGTCAGGACATTTCTCCTGTTGTTTGTATGTACACTGAGAACATGTGGACCAGAGACAAATTCCTTGTGTGTCCAGTCACACTTGGCCAGTAAAGAATATTCCAATTCCTGGTTTTCATCCTAACTCGGTGCTTCTCAATCTTCTCAGTTTCAAGATGAGTGAACTTCAACTCCAACCAGCAAAGTATAACTCTAGCTATAATCTCCTAGCCTTTCCGCGCTACTGTGCAACAACCCTGTGGGGTGGGGTGGGTTGAGAGAGGGACTAGTCCAAAAGTCCCCCAGCGCACCCAATGGAAGACTAAAATTCACCCTTTCCCCATTTATAACCCAGCATCTTAAATGCTGCACTGTAAAGGCTCCCGGTTTCTTAGATTCCTATTTCACTAGATTTGTTTGGGTTGCCAGATTTGTTTGCAAAGTATATTTGATTACCTGAAACAACCTTTCCTGAAACATAGTTCGCACCTTTCCAGGTAAACAATGACATGCAAAGCACTACCTCAGCTGCTCTTTCAAGGAAGGAGAGCTCACCTGTGTTGCCATGCCACAGAGGTGAAAGGGAGGCTATGGCTAGTTAAGAAACCAAGGGAACTGTCTTGTGCAAACTCAGAAAAGGGGGAAATTAATAACCAGGTTGGGTATGTTATGAAAGCCACCCCACATTTGGTGTACCATCAACGCTTGTGTGTACCGTTTCCTGAGACTAATAAAAAAAAAAAAACTCCAGGCTAGGGTGCATTTTGAGAAATGAGTAGCACTGACCTTTGAGCTGGTTCTTAAAGGGTGGAGAATGAGTTTCTCACTTCCAACCTCTGGAAAACTGCACCTAATCTCATATGTGTGAGTCAGTCTGGAAAATTCCTTATATGACCTCCATTATTGGAGGCAGAAGAGCCAAAGGTGAGCGCATTTAAGATATATGGACTTCAGCTCCTACAATTCCTCAGCCAGAGGAGTTGAAGCCTATACATTTTTAAAGTTTCCAAGTTTTTTTTGGGGGGGGGGAGAAGCAATCCTTTTTTAGAGCCAAGGATTGTGAGATTCCAGGCGATGATGGTGGTAGTGTGTGGTTGTTGTTTTTTTTTAAATAATAGCTGGCATTGCACAATCTTCTAAGCTGTAATGTGGTTTCAGCTGTTTGCGGTTTAGCACGGTGCACGAACTTGCTATTAACTTTAATTTGGCCAACCATGGCTTAGCAGGTTGAGCTGAAGGCAAGCTGTATGAAATCTCTCTCAACGGCGGTGGGCAAGGAGAATCAATCTTTTCCAGCTTTCCACCTCGGCAAATCAGTTTCTCTTACTCAAGTTATCCACAAATCCATGTTTGTGTTTAAAGCAGCGTTTTTCAATCTCACCAAAGGTTCAAATGTGCGGACTTCAACTCCCAGGTGAACATTTGGGGAATTCTGGGAGTTGACATCCGCAGGTTTTAACCTGGCTGAGGTTGAGAAACATTGGTCAAAAACCAGGGGGGGGGCTCCTGTGTGGGATCCACTAGGGGGCACTTGGAACACTTGCAAAGAACAATGCTTTCTACATACAGTACACACGTGTGCATGTAGCCTGTTTCTTAAGGCAAAATCAAGGACCTGGGCAACTGTAGAACCTGCCACTGAGCACAATGGCTGAAAACTGGATCGCTGGAATAAGCACCGCCAAAGATTAGTGCTGTGTTGAAAATGACCTGCAGGACGGATTTCATGCTCATGACTCAAAGCCACCTAAGAACTGTCTGATTCCATCCGAAGTCCATCACGTTGAGTCTGAGGCTTCTAACTTCTGCTCTTGAAAACTGGTGGAGGACACATCATTAACCCCCAGCCGGTCAAGTGAATGGTCATCACCTAGTGGTCCCGGCGTTCTTACTGCCAATCAGAAGCTCATGAGTTAGGCTACAGCACTGATTCCTCCACCCCTCTAGCCTTTGTTCTAGTAATTATAGAGCTTAGTGACTTTTGGACACCAAGGTAGCATTTTGGTCTCTTTTGGGTGTATATAGGTCAGTGGTTCTCAACCTTTCTAATGCTGTGACCCCATAATACAGTTCCCCATGTTGTGGTGACCCCCAACCACTTATACATCACCGGGTGCCAGGGGCGTGGCCAAAGAAAAGGGGGGGAAAATGGCGGACAGCCTTGTTTGGCGACCCCCGTGAAATGGTCGTTTGACCCCAAATGGGGTCCCGACCCACAGGTTGAGAACCACTGACATAGGTCTATGTCAGCCTTTTCCTAATTTGGCATGTGACAGATCGATTTTTTCAGGGAAAGTTCCAGATTTTGCAGCTAAGATGAAATTCAAAATGAAATTCAATGGTGAAAAAAGTAAGGTGTTACATTTAGGCAAGAAAAACCAAATGTACAGGTATAGTATAGGGGGTACCTTGCTCAATAGTAGTAACTGTGAGAGGGACCTCGGAGTCCTAGTCCTAGTCCCTGCTCCAACACTGGAAGTTTTTAAGAAGAGACTGGACAGCCATTTGTCCAAAATGGTGTAGGGTTCCTGCCTGAGCAGGGGGTTGGACTAGATGACCTCCAAGGTCCCTTCCAACTTTATTATTATTATTATTATCGATCATCGCACAGTCAGCCAGATGTTCAGACTGGATTTGGCATTTTGTCTACCTATCGAGTCCTTACCCAGGACTGGGATAGGCAGATGTGGATGTTTGATGGTATTACAGATATCGTCGCAGGATGGAAGCAGTTCCTAATAAGGCTGCCTTTTGCAATTGACTAATAGCGAATTTGTCAATGCCAATGGTGTTCAAGTGGTGCTCCAGTTGTTTTGGAATTATTATTACTATTATTATTATTATTATTATTTGCAAGTCCAGCCCATTGGGATGCTGGATAGGGAAGGTTGGTCAGGCTTTATGATGTAAAGATAGTCCTTGACTTACGACTCAGACCACAGCTGAGCAAAAACCTTCTGTTGCTAAGCAAGACAAGTTGTTAAGTGAGCTTTGCCCTCATTTTATGATCTTTCTGGCCACAGTCGTTAAATGAACCGCTGCGGTTGTGAAGTTGGTAACACAGTG